ATATAAAAGTTTCAGCCCCATACCTACGACCACAAAACCTCGAACGACAACCACACCCTCGCGTACAACCACGATGATGGCTAGACCTACTACATTGGCTCCCACGACGACAACGAACTTTGGAGTTCTGCCAACAACAACTCCCACAACTACGACAACTTCTACAACAACTACAACTACTCCTACAACGACAACTACTACAACCCCGACAACGACAACTACCACAACTCCTACGACAACTACCACTACAACTCCCACAACGACTACGACAACTACTACAACCACTACTACAACTACACCGACGACTACAACGACTACCACAACCACCACCACTCCACCAACCCGTGAGTACAGAGTTAGAAATGTTGATGAAAAATTTTTTCTTATTTTTGTCTCCTTTAAAAATGTATCTTCATCCCTTCCTTTATTAAATTTTGAAAAAAGGAGATTTTTTATCCATTACAGTTTTCACGAACTTCGACACAAAAGATTTTTAGCGTGGGATAAACTATAAATTTTGATTGTGTTTATACGATCGAGCAAAGATTAGACGACTTCCAATCATACATACTCTACAGTTCGTGCATATGCTTAGCATAGTCTAGACTTGGTTTATTAGGTTAGGTTTGTTCTACAGATAAAAAAATCAAAAATAATTAATAAAATAAAAAAGCCATGTTTGCGTGGGGGACAGCTCTAAAAGCTTATTAAAATTTTTTTATGGCGATTTGGATCAATCTCCGATTATCGCAAAACTATGGCTGTTGAATAAAAACTGACTGCATGTGAATACAGATTTTCCCATCTTTTTACCAAATGTATTAAATAGATTTAAAAACATTCCTCTTTCGTGGTTTCTATGTATTATTAGTACTTCGATCAGTTTCAAATAATTTTCACGTTCTTTAATTCTGAACGTTTCTTCGGAGCACACGGCCATTGCCCAAGTCATCGAACAATTTCTCATCAAACTGCATCAGAGGACCCAAATTTAACTGATTGCAAAACAGGCAATCAACATTTTAAAGTTTTTTGTTTGCGCTATATCTCGCCCTAATGTTTGTATCATCGG